TTTTCGTCTTTATTTGATATATAATTTTATCCCTTAACATGTTCCTTCAAGATGGTGGCTCGTTTGAGCAAACCAATCTTTAAACGAGACACCATCTTGAAGTATGTGTGCTCAATTTTTTTGAGTTTTAATCGGATAGAATTGCTCATTAGAGATTAACGGGCTCTGATTTCATGTTAAAAATTGAGATTTCATCTTAAAAGATCAACCTTATTAAGAGAAGTAGTCTAAACTCTTATAAATTGGTCTATATTTTCATCTTTATTCGATACGGAATTTTTTCCCTTAACAATCAGAACCCTATAGAAAAAAATCTCACCCCATTTTTCGAAAATTGAGTGAATTTGAAAATTTTAAATATATGTAAAAAGAAAGTTAAGCACGAGATTTCTAGTTAAAAGGAACATGTTGTACATTCACATGGGTATCTAGAGGACAAGACTATCAATATCTAATTTGATGGCCATTAATACATATTAAATTAAGCTTTGAGCAAACTTTTGAAGCTTAAACATAGCATATTGAAGAACAGCCTTAGCTTGTATTTGAATCTCATTTTTATGAGAATAGAAAGTTTGGAATAGTGATTGATGTGAGAATGTGTAGTGAAAAAGTGATAAAAAGTTTTAGATTTGTGTGCAATATTATTTTATTTGGAGAACGTGTGGTTGAAATGAAAAAATAGAACAAAATGAGAATGAGAAAAAAAAAATGGGTGTCAAACATAGACTTAATTTTCTTTTACTTGGAAAGCATTTTACCTCCGCAACTTCACGCGCCAGATTTTCCATGAAATCATGGCTTTTGTTTTCCTTGTGTTTTGGCAGTTTTTTATTTTCTAGCTTTTGCTTTTTTTTTTTTTNCAATGGTAGAAAAAAAATATCATTTTAATGGACAATTTTCATAAAAGACGAAGTCAAACGGACACCAAACTTTTTACATTTTTCAGGTGGAAATTTATACCAATTAAACACAATTAATTACAATTCACAATGATGGCTTGTCGTTAATTGAAAATCATATTTTATTTTCTTTTTGGCTCAGAATCATCCTCATGACAAGTTGGTGGACTATGTGAGCTAAACACAGTATACACTTAATTTGATAGAATTGTCCAAAATAAGATTTGCATTATTATTTCTCGATGAACATCTCATGACTTCTCTCAAACATAATCAAGCTTCTGAATTGAACACTTCCATGAACGTTTGCCTTTAATTCTATTTTCAATGGGAATCATGTACTCAAACAAGTGTTCCACTTTTTCAATAAATAATACATAAAATTATTATGTTAAATAACAATGAACAAATATGAAAAATCTACAACAAACTAAGTTAAACTTAGTGTGCTCAGTTCGGTTAGCCCCCGTCCTTAGTGAGCTAGTATTTCACTTTGGTCAATCTCCCTAGATCTTGATTTTTAGGGTTTTAACCAGTTGGGTTACGATTGGGCCTTAGTTGACTTAGTGCGACGTTGTAAGTATTGGGATGAAATAATAGTCTATTCCAGTTACTTTCATTAAAATGTCAACGAATCATTTTCAGAACTTGATAAACGATAGGGTTGTAAAATTTACAGCCCTCTAATGACTGTAAGTGTAGTGCTGTTCATAATAATATAGGAATAGTCACTAATCAAACTCTGGTGTACTAGAACATTAAGTCCATATTTGATAGGGATTAAAATTTTAATTTTAATTTAAGTTTAAGTCAAAATCAATAATTAATTTTAACAATACATTTCATCAATTTTTATCAAAATGTACTAAAAATCTAATTTTAAGGCTAAGATTTCTATTCGCGTTTACAAGGAAAACTAAGATGCAGTCATATAGCTTACAATTAGTTAATGCTTTAACATTCATTTTCAAACCAGTTGTGCATCTCTTACTTGAATAAGTCCAAATACTCTAACGGACCAAGTCTCATTCTTAACCGAATACAATTAAATTCTTCAAAAATATGGTGTTAATCTCTCTCTCTCTCTCTCTCTCTCTCTCTCTCTCTCTCAAGTCTTATTCCCAACCTAATACAATTAAATTCTTCAAAAACATGGTGTTAATTTTGGTCTCTCTCTCTCTCTCTCAAGTCTTATTCTCAACTTAATACAATTAAATTCTTCAAAAACATGGTGTTAATTTTGGTCTCTCTATCTCCGTCTCTGTCTCTGTCTCCGTCTCCGTTTCTCTCATAATCATATTTCACTAGAATAGTAACTCTAGAGCTCTCATGGAATAATTTGATCAACCGTTAAGACTCTTCCTCAATTTATTCGAAATCCTTTTACTGTTTAACATCTCATTGAACAATTTTGTGAACTATAAAATAATGCATGAGTTATATGCCAAACCATCGGGAATGAAAATGGAAACTAAGCATCATTTCTCGTGGCAAATGGAAAGAAAATGTGCCATTGATAGCTCACTTAAAATCGATAACAACCCATAGCACAAACTACACTAGAAGGTAAGACACTGAAAGAAATCATCCAACTTAAGGGGCTCATTTACCATAAAGAAAATCAGGGAACCCAAAATGATCATCTTTCTTTAGTAAAATCTTCCAAAGACTATATGCACTCCAGATACAAGAAAAGATTTATACCACATTCAAATGTAATTCCAGACCTTAAAAATTTTAAGGTGCACACAGTAAATTCCAGTAAAAGAAATTAACCAAAATTTTGAATAATAGCCATGTCGAAAACATATCTTCATCGTAAATCTCTCTAGAAAAACCGTACAAAATCGTAGTATTTAAGGGGAATAGATGAAGCATTCATGCCTAATGATAGTCCACTACGACATTGTTTCCTGAAATTGGATTTGGTGATTAACTCTATGAAGGCAATTCGCGAAAATGGCTGTTGTTGTTTGTAATATATTTCATGTTAACTTTAAGTTTTTTTTTTTTTTTTTTTTTTTTTT